ACAAAGCAGAGGCCAGTAGATCAGATGAAATTTGTTTCTGTCCTTAAGTACTGAATTCTCCACAACTGTGGGAATTAGAAATTTCAGCCACTTATTTAACACATGAACACCTTAAAAAGTATAGTATTTATCAGGGAGGGAGTATGACAAAGACTGTGTATTCCAATGCTAATGAGTTCTTTTTATGGCCTAATCACTAGGCATTAAAGAGGCTTTTCCAATGAAAACTGAAGTAAATTTTAATGTTGGATGTGTATTGGCAATTTGCATAGGCAAGGCCTTCACTAGAAACTTACATGATTTCATGATCTAGCTTAAAACATTTTAAAACAGAAATAGTATAAATGTATCATAAATTAAGATAAATCCCAACTAATTATATCACAATGCATATATAACAAGAATTTCTCATTGTTGCCACTTCTGTTTTTTTCTAAAGTTAAGCTGTTCTTCCCTGTATTCAGGAAAATTAAAAGTTTCAACGTGCTTGGAAGCCAAAGTTTCATTCATAGTATTCATTAAGCAGTAAATAGTCAAAGCAGCTTATTAACTCTATTAACATTATGTTTTTAAAAGTAATTACTTTTTACCTGTGGAAAATCCTGCCATTTTGCACCTGCAATTGAGTGCAAGCAAAACATGCAGTCCAGTAGAGTACCTAAGTTATGTTTTGTTCATTCATATTGTCACACAATCTCGCCCTGAAAAAGCAAAAAAAGCCTAAGAACAACCCCAGAGATTTGTATTTTTAAAGCTGCTTCCTTTGCCAAATGAACTAAAATTGCAAACAAACATTCATAGGGTTTTTTTTTACTTCCTGGCACAGCACATTCCATTTGCTCACAAGGCTGCTGAACACTCTTGTAACACGCGAGAGATAATTTGGTCATCTCTACAGAAACAAATACAAGTTGTCTAATCAGATGATCAAGTCTCAAAGCAAATGAGAACAAACAAAGGTATCACAGATCTGCCAAAATCCCAGTAATTAAAATGCTGTTGAGACTGGAGAATATTTTGGACATACCTGCCACCTGGTGTTTGGAAAACAACCTTATACCTGAAAGCAACCTGAAATGCTCTTAAATCTGTATTCCCATTAAGAAGCAAGCAAGCACTGATATATCTATCGTGGATTAAATGCATAAGCAGCAAAAGTGTCTTTAGGTTGGTGTTACTACCAGCATCTGTCTAGAAAGAAAGGAATAGGGTGTTTTAATGTTCCTTCCAGTCCTGTCTCTACTAACCACAAAAATTCTCAAGTAAATCTTTGAATTAAGTGTATTTACACACCTCCTGTCAGATAATGGCACTTTTGATGAGAAACCTCCCAGGCACAGCCTTATACAACTTCACAGTCTAACTGTAAACTACAGTGTGCCAAACCCAAAGGCAAAGAAGTAAGTTATATGAGATGGAGCTACGTTAAAAAAAGGACTAGCGATAAATAATAGGGGGCAGTAAGTGAGTAAGCAGTCAGTGTCTGAAATTACTGTGATGACTATTAATGTGTCTTACCTAAAATACTTAAAACCCCCAAGTCTTTATAGTGGAAGTGGCAATGACAGTAATTACCAGTGTTGCACGTTTGATGCCTCACTGGTAAAATGGGCAACAGGAAGCACATCAACTGAGATCAACCATGTTTTATCTTTACCTACCAAAGAGCTACTTCAAGTGGAGCCTAAAGCTTCAGTGTAGGCAACTGGACAAATTACTGTGCAATTCAGTGATAGGAAACTGTAGCTATAGCAGAATGAGGGATTTTTTTCCCTCCTTTGCAAAGCACTTAAATACATCTGTGTTTCACAATTATAACTCAGGATGAAACCACAGTCTGAAGTCAGTCCCAGCAATGTAAACAGCTGGCATTTAAGTTAGCACCCCTGGCAAGCACAAACTGTAACTATTTGTCTGGAATCACATCTTCATAGGGCTGCCAAAAATAAAGTGGAGTGTAGTGTTTCGGTTTTTCTTTTTCAAGGTAATGCAATTGTGTCCCTGGGTGCCCCACTCTATTTCAATTCTAGTAAATGAAAATTATATGCACTAGAAGGTCAACACTATATTGTACATATACTGTATACACTTGCATCAACACCTCTTTTAACGGCAGAACACGTAGGTCCAAACATAACCAATGTATTAATTGAGAACCATGCAGTTGCATGTAGAGAAGATACCTGTAGCTTTACTTGACAAATGCAGGGAGGTTGTTTTTCACATTTATTTTCAAGCCAAAATTCTAAACCACTTAATTGTCATTAACTTTTTCCAGAACTTAATCTCTGCCTAATACAGGGCTCAGTTGCTTTCTCAACATCTGAAGAAAGTTATTTGCTAATGAAAACACAGAACATAGTAAGGAACTTCTGTAAAGCAGAAGATACTCTTCCTGTTTTCTATCAACAGTAACTGCTCAGCACAGACAGATGTTAGGACTATTTTCTTGCCTTAGTATTAATGGGGGAACCTCACGACTCTTGTATGACCTTTGCAGAGAGCACAAAGGAGTGGTAAAAAATACAAAAAGTTGAAAGAAAAACTGGGGGAAAAAAGAATTCTAACCACAAACAAAAATTACATCACTGGTCTAGCATGCTGATGGCTACTAACAGTAGAGCCAGGATCATTGCTTCTGTAAAGTTGAATACTTGGCTGGTTATTGAATGTTATTAAAAATGTAAGTAAAAAGAATACTTTAGACTCTTACAAAAACGTTAGATTCAAAAAGTACCACTCAATTCGTTTTTGGTCTGTTCAAGCCTGCTGCAGCAGCTCTGTTCTTGGTAAGTCACAGCTCTTGCTGAACCTATTTCATATTTGATGAGTTACTCTACATGAGTATTATTTTAACTGACGATTATACGTTGCCTACAACCTAGTCTCACCAAAACTGTGCTTTCCATTCCCATTTTTGTTTCAGCATGCACAAATGGACCTTAAAAACCCCCTCAGGAAATCAAATCAATCTGCAAGAAGCTAAGAGGATATACTTGGAAGGACTCACTTTGTGCTATCCCTATTATATTTTTACTTAAAAATCTGCTACTGATGATTGTCAGGTAAGGAAGAACCCAAATAAACACTTTGAATAAAACAAAATTATATTAATATTTTTAACTTTTCACTGAAGTGTTCTTTCAGCCTTGAAATGCGTCATATACTGTGGTTCATGCAAGTCTTATTTTCAACGCACAGCTCTGAAAATGGCACGTTCTACTGTACTCAAATTGCCTAGCACATTCTTCTTCAGCTACTGCTTAAAAATAAATTGGCTACTGAATGAATAAAACAAACCAGTTAGGTAGCCAGAAAAATTTGGATAGTCTGTAGTGCTGGGAGGGATTGGTGTGGACACCACTAGTACAAGCTGTACCTCAAGCTATGTGTATATATAATACCATGAAATAAATATATATGCCAAGTTTTAACAGTTATGTTTCTTAATGAGAAACGTTAAGTCTACGTATGGAGGATTGAAACTGTTTCAGTTCTAATCTTTACCAAGCCATGGTAAAAGCCAATCATCAATTATTTAAATATGAAGAAATGAGTGCTTGTTCTCAAAACATTGATAATATTTTCTCACAGAGTTTACTGCAAAACAGTATCTTGAAGCAGTAGGAAAGGCGCCCAAGCCTCTTCAAAACCTGAGGTAGCACCATCTCCATCAGGCTGTTTTACCTTTACAAAAGAAAAAAAAAAAAAGAAATGTTACAGGCAAAAATTATGCACTGATTTTTCAGGGGAGAAATACCTGCCAGTTACTTAAGAGTATGTATTGGGTTTGCATGGCAAGGTTTTGGTAGCGGAGTGGTTACAGAGGTGGCTTCTGTGAGAAGCTGCTAAAAGCTTCTCTTATGTCCAATGGAGCCAATGCCAGCCACCTCCAACAGACTGGCTGCTGGCCAAGGCTGAGTGAATCAGCAATGGTGGTAGCACCTCTGGGATAACATATTAAACAAGGGGGAAAAAACTGCTGCACAACAGCAGCCAGAGGAGAGAAGTGAGAATATACGAGAGAAACAACTCTGCAGATACCAAGGCCAGTGAAGAAGGCAGTGAGAGGAGTTGCACCAGAGCAGAAAATTCACCTGCAGCCCATGGTGAGGCAGGCTGTCCCCCTGCAGTCCATGGAAGTCCACAGTGGAGCAGAGATTCACCTGCAGCCTGTGGAGGACCCCACACTGGAGCAGTCTGTTCCTGAAGGACTGCACACCATGGAAAGGGCCCAGGCTGGAACAGTTCATGAAGAACTGCAGCCCACAGGAAGGACTCATCTTGAAGTTTGTGGAGGACTGTTTCCCATGGGAGGGACCCCATGCTGGAGCAGGGAAAGTGTGAGGAGGAAGGAGCGGCAGACACAACATGTGATGAACTGACCACAGTACAGTACAAATATAAAACAAACTTCTACAGAACAGGACCAAAATAATTTCATGCTTCTGAGCATAACTTGTATAACTGATGCATTTATATGTGTTAAAGCATATGTGGGGCTAGAAACGATTATCTGTAGATACACAAGTTATTTAAAATCCTGTTTTCAGAAAGTTTTTTCACTGTGCTGGTAACAGACAGACATGCAGACCACGGTAACCAGACTTAAGCAACTTGCATACCATTATATTTCAACCTCTGCCTTAAATCAGCGTATTCTATTTACAGTTGTTCCTGAAGCCCACAACTAGACAGAGACAAAAAATATGAAAATAAAAACCCAGCGTATTTTATTTTCAGCTTTGAAGATGCATCTCTAAACAATCAGTAGAAAAAAAACAAGTAAAAAAGTAAACACCAGCATTTTGTAAAATCACATTGAACTAATACAAGACTTAATAGAAAGTTTTCATATACTGCTGAAATGTAGTTTAAAAAAAAAAAGTAGTCTGGTCTCCAAAGACCCCTTCTACTTGAAATAAATCGTTAAGTACCCACAGATTTTAACTATAAAACAAGGATACATTCTTTCTCTTATCTTCCATTTATGAAGTCGATTGCCACATACTTCAGTCATTTGCAAGTGAAATTCATAGTCTCAGTTACAGGATTGAAGACAAGATGTACAATTGCAAGACTGAAGTCCTTCCATTTTCAGTATGGGCTCTTTATCAAGTTGACACTCATCACATATCTTTAGACTGATCATCTTCTTCAAGTTTCCTGATTTCGTTCTTTAAACAGTTGATGGTTTCACGACTTGCTTTTAATCTTTCTTTAAGCTCCGCGATTTCAAAACTAGTTTTCTTTTTGGCAGCTTCCAGCTTTTCCCTGGTTTTCACTTCAAGATCTGCAACTGTGGTGGTCATAAAGAAAAATAAATATTCTAAGTACCATGAGAAGTTGTAATTTTATTTTTTTTTTAAATTGCAACAGTAATTCGGATAGCGTGTGTCCTGCAAAATCTATTACTGTTAGCCTTCAAGATTCAATGACTGGCATCAAAATGGTATCCAAATAAAAACTTGGAATTAAAAAAAAAATACCCAACTTGTTTGGTGGCCTCATTCAGCCCATCAGTTTTGTGGATGGAGTTATATAATTCACTATTTAATTTTCCAGAGTGTTTTAGAGATTAAGTGGGAAAAAATACCTGACATAACAGCAAATAAATGGGAGATTACAGAGAACTATAAATAATTTACATGTGATGCCCAGTGTCAGCATGTGAGGCCATGGGCACAAAGGGGGGCACAAACTGAAAACACAGGAGGTTGTTCTCTCTGAACATCAGCAAGCTTTTTTTACTGTGAGGGTGACTGAGACTGGCACAGGTTGCCCAGGGAGGTTATGGAATCTCCATCCTTGGAGACATTCAAAATCCATTGTTTAATTCTATCTATCTAAAAGATTTAGTGGTGCTGCCTTTGTTTTTATGAATATCTTGACATTAGGACATCTCAATCTGGCAATCTGGTTTATTGAGGTGTCCTTTTTTTCTTTTGGTAATTTGTTCATGCACAAGTTTTTGGACAAAGCTGGTAAAGGCAACAAATCTATGGAGGCCATGGATATCCCTTCATATCCCACACATTACATAATCGTATGCAGTGGCAAAAAAAAAAAAAAAAAACACTTAATTTTTTTATCTGCTTGAGAAGCACATTTTAAGGAAATATATTTTAAAAATCCACTAAGAAGTTTCTATCTACTCTCAGGAGAAACACCCATAAATTTGAAGCGAGAAAAGTTTAAATTTGGACAAGACTTCTTTATGATTCAAAGTATTAAACATTTCTACACTTAAACCATAACAACATGCAATATAACAAAAATCCACCTCAAGGCTGGCTAAACTGAGGCAGAAAATACAAGTCATAGCTCACAGACCCACACACCCAAACAGACGTAAGGCAAATCAGAACCCCAGCCTTGTAGAGCTTCAAACCCATAACCACTCTTAGCTCTAGGTATTCACTGTCTAAAAATACCTGACATTTGTTGTCAGGGGAACATGCAGATAAGCCAAAGGCCAGGTGAGTCGGACTACAATGGCATTAGAGTTTGTAACTAACAAGGCAGGATTTGAGCTTAATAAATATAACATTTGCTTTCTGAGAGTAGAAGATGAGAGATGAAACCCAGAAGATCAGAACAGAAATAATCACTCTTTATATTATACTATATTTTTATGAATCAACGTATGTTAATTTAATTTCTTTAATTCCCTGGTTTATTCTGGTTTATTTTTAAAGACAGATTAGATAAAAAGGACGCAAAGAACATTAAGCTATACTGAAGAATTATGTTATGAAATGACCCACAGTTAAGGAATTGGAAAGAAGGGAACTGTACTGTTACAGCCCAGAAAAAACACTAAAAGCGAAAACAACTGTTGTTTATTTCTAAAATTAAAATATTTTAATTTTCAACTTACACTCTGTTTCGTGCTTATAGGCACCCAGTGTTAGTTGACGAGATGTTGTTAACAGCTGCTGCATCATTGCAGTAGGATCTTGAAATATCTAATGAAGGAGAAAAATACATGGTATCACTAATACTCTTCAAAATAAAGTGAGGATCACATTAAAAATTTCCATACCATTTCATCATAGAATTCAGAAACTACAGTCTTCTTTCCCAGGATGGCATTGGTATCAGACTGAAAAAGCTTCAGCAAGTGATACAAGGTTACCTATACAAAGACAGAAGTTTATTAGCTTGACAGTTGTAGGGGAATACAAATCTTCCAGATATCAACAAGCAGTATTTGTTCTTACTAAACAAGTGTATAGGATTTAAAAATCTTTTAGGAGGGCAAAAATAAATATCATATAATTTAAGCAGAATTACTTAAATTTAATTCTTACAACACGCCAACTGTCCAAAGGCTTCTTGATACTTTAAAAACACCTGGTCAAGTTGTTTAGGATTGGTGTATAAAAACTACTAAGAAAATCTTCTCTTAAAACATTTCCAAATAGATGATTTAGTTGAAACCGACTTTCGCAATTAATCAGTTAGAAAGTGCTTTCTGTGACCCTGTCCTCCCTTCTTGTGAAGGAAAAACACCAGGGTGGGAGTGAGGGTGGGCTGTGAATAGTTTTTCACTGAACTTCCCCTCTTCAGAGTTACTTTTCCTTTACTGCACTGCACTGCAAATGGCAGGAGCTGGAGAGGAACAGAGGAAGCCCTCTGTCCAGCTGACCACTTGGACCACAACCTGGGAAGAGGACAGACAACCCACAGTTCTTCCCTTCCACAAAAAGGCCCATGAACAGTCGTGGAAAAGAGCGATTGTCTTACTCCAGGTGGTACTTCCTGGAAAGGAAGAACACGACAGGCACCGAAACAGCCTTCCAAGAACAATCACAAATTAAAAACACCCAACCAACTTTAGGACAGCTTGGTCAAGCTGTGAATGGAATTAAAACAACAAATCGGGATGCTACCGAGCACAACAGCGCAGGAAGCCCTTTCTAGTCTAGTATCAATTCTCATATATTCAAGAAAAACATAAAATTCAGTTTTCCCCTCATTTGGCAAAAAACAGTTAAAGCAAAGTTCATGCGAGAGAAGGAACCCAGTCCTTCCAGAAATAAACACCCTTTTCCCATAAAACATGACAACTGAGTTTCCTACCTAAACCTGGATAAACAAAACTGCAGGGCGTCTACAACACAGGATGGAAAGAAAGAAATTCATTCCAATGCTTTACTCAACCAGAGAAGTGTCTTAACCTGGTTTTCTTAGGAAGCTGGCAGAGCACCTTTGCTGCTTTTTGAGTGATTTTAACTGAATCTGATAGACAAAAAAAAAAAAGCAAAATATTTAAATATCCTAGAACTAGGAAGCTACATGGAAGAGAAATCCTCAGTATGTGCTCAACCCAGGTAAGGTGCAACATGTGGTCACACAGAAGAAACTGTCAGAGAAGCCAAGCGCGGAAAAAGCCATCACAAATGCCAGTAGTAAAGCACAGAAACAGGAAAACGTGGCCAACAATTAAATAACATTTCCTACAAGAACAGGCTTTATTACTTCCATGGCAGATGGGACATATTTTGACCAGCACTATCCTACACCACAGCTTGAGGCCACCATAATTAATGAAGCATTGTTAAAAGTTCAATGTACTTACAGGTCTTTCATTTGGGTCAATGAAAAATATTTTAATGATTATTTCAAATTCACCCCAGCCTGTTTCGGTGATTTCATACGGTGGTTTGGTAACAACTGCAGTGAGAAACACAGAAGTGTTAATATGGGTGATAAAGCCTTGGTGGAACTAATCAAAACCCCAATTCTGGGAACAAATGCCCAAGTGCAAAACCCACCTCTTAAAGGATTGCCGTAGCTCTCGTGCAACTTGAACTGAATCTTTTTCACGTAGGCAGACATATCCTAAAATAGAAGCATCGTTATTTCTAACTGTTTGCACAGCGCACCAATGGATGTTCATCCATCCATCCATCCCACGTCTCTATCATTTCCCCTGACACGGCGGCAAGATGGTAAACCCCAGAGTTCGCACTGACACACACAGAGCTGTCGTGATTTTGTCCCCGTGAACGCTCTCCAGTTTTCCCCCACCTAGACGGTCACTCCTAAACTGCAGGAGGAAGCACATCTTCCCTCTCCTCACCCTCTTTGGAAACCCCCCGGCCTACCCACCTCCCCCC